ATGTGTCTCAATACGCCCGGCCTATAACACCGTTCACACTCTGCGACCCTGACGAAACGTCGGTTGGAGAAAAGCAAAAAATAGTCATCGATCGGAGAATCGCCAACCGCTAGTTTCGCCGAACCGCCGCGGTTCGGCGGTTGGGCGAAAAGCAATAGATGTGTATCGATTTCGCTGGCGAAAAACACGGCGATCGAGCTAGCGTTTCGTCGAAGGCGAAAAACGTCGCGGTTTGGCGAAACGCCCGTCGATTCGTATCAAAACCCTTTCGCCCAACCGCCAGACTCTTCGCCCAACCGCCAGTCGATACGTATCGAAAGCTTTTCGCCGAACCGCCGCGTTCCAGAGAAACGCTGGACCGCAGACTGTGAACAATGCCTTAGTTAGCGGCGCGGCGTACTATTTCTGATAGTAGATCAGAGGTGTTCTACCCACTGCCTTCTCTGTCCCTCACAGCGACGAAAAATCATGAGAATGTTCGCTAAGGGGTAGGTAGATTGCAAATGTGGTCGTGCCAAAACCCTCCTTTTCGGTCGTACTGACATCCGACACATTGGATTCACCCATGTTGCTCCCTTTTTTGAGGACCTCGCGGAAACAACCATGCAGGAATCATATTTGCCTGCATTAGTTGTCCGGGTGATCAAGGAACTTAACCTTTCTGAATATTACAATTAGCCCTATCTATTACGTAAAGACAACTGCACACTAATTTACGTAGATTCCGTGCCGCATGTGGAGAGAATGGGTCCACTGATGTAGTAATGTGAGCAGAATTGCAAAATGCGGCGGCTGGAGGGCAGTGATACCGAGCGCCGTCTCCATATTCCGCCCGCGCTATCCTCAATCTGCAGTTCTTGTGTCGATACCAAGGTCCCGCAGCGAAACAGGAGAGCGCGCAGACAAATAGCACGTTTAGCTATTGTTAGGCGTGTGGCTGGGTGCGCTGCAAGGATGGAGCGTAGAGATGGCACATGAGTATCACTACCCTCCAGCCCCGCTCTCTTGCACCGAAATGAGGCTGGCAGCACGCTGCTGCAGCTGCAGACCCATTCTCCTCACACACGGCAAGAATCAGAATTCACGTAGGTGAGGGCACAGTTTGTCTTTAACGTCTTGGAGCTGAAGAATTAGAGATCATAAACTCTCTTTAGTACTTGGCAAATGATCACGACGCATTCTACTCTTCGTTTTCTACTGAACAAAGTTTTCTACCGTATTCAAAATATCTTCTGGCGCGACTCCTTTGGTTTGTTCGACGCGGCGCCAAACCCATCCCGCCTAACATGCCCCTTCATCCGCAGCGAATGAGGCTGTAGTCGCAACTAGGGGAGGCATATTCTGCAAATACCATGGGATCTGCCTCACATTCACATGAGGAGCGGAGCATGAGACATCTAATATAAATTCTGCTTCTGGTTAAGGAACTCGAAAGACTAAAGCGAGCCTAGTCCGGTGATGGTACCAAAATACCAAAAGAGTGAAAGCACTACTGCAGACCAGATTAAAGACAGCTCCCGCGATAAAAGTCTCATGGATAGCTGCTTTCCAATTATGAAACAGCAGCTGATAAGTAATCTCCCAAAGAAGAAAACAGGCAAGAAGCGTTCTCCAGAACAACATAAACAAAATCGCTCCCTCACAGTCACACCTCCCTGCGGTCTCTGTGCAAGCCCCTAGCTCACAATCTCTCTATCACATCTCGCAGTAGTTGATATCATCCAGTGCAAAAAAAGAATACAAAAAGAAAACAACAAAAACGCAGAGGAAAAACTCTGGGAAGGAAAAAGGAATTTTATCAACACGGTGTCTGAATTTGTGATTACGGTAGCGCACCTTTTGTGCGTCGTGGTTTTGCATCACGAAAATTGCGTCACTCGTGTTTTTTACGCGTTTCACCTCGCGAAATGGGTTGAATTGAATGTATATACCTCCAATGAGTAAACTGTAATGAAGGAGAGCATAATATCTCCAGGGGCAATTAGCACAATGGCCCGCCGCCCCAACTAAGAACAAGTGAGTGGCCTCCGTCGGAGGACATCTAGCAAGTAAAGGCGGTCCGACTGAGGAGGAGTTAGAACTAGCACTTTGAGCGGCTATAGCAGCCTCACACGCTCACAACAAATATATTCGGGCGAAAGGTGAACGTCTTTCCCTAGCTTGGAGGCTATGACTACTTGCACAGGCAACCAGCGACCACAGAGCCCACTTTGATCGGCCCGGGCGGCTGCTCCTTTCAAGACTCTGTAAAATGGGGAAACTAACGAAGTATTGGGCACTGTGCAGAAGATCATAAGAGTTCTTGTTGATTTATAATGAAGGAATAGGGGCAATTTTGAATGTTGGAGCAGACCTAACTTTTGTGTCCACCTCCGTAGTCATTCAGTATAACCTGTATCCTTTAATAGGCCATTACCTAGCCTGGCCACACTAGCAATCGGTACGATTGACCACATCAAACTCGATTTCCCGAATAGTTGATGATGATATAAACGCTTCAAAGTGATCATTCGCAGTCGTGCGAATCCCTAACGACTACCGGACGAACTCAAGAAACTGCTTTGCAATTTACAAACAGCAAAATCAATCACGTTGGTCAACAAAAAATAACGATGTTGAAATAAAACTGTATAGTTATGATGTCAGTTGAAACAATGATATTATTCGAAATCTATCCTACAAATCTCATTATTCCTTCTTTCCGCTTTCTGGACGTGCACAAAGAAGGATACTATAAACGTCGTAGTGATTTGCCGTCTAACCGGCAACTGTCGCGGAAATCACACACTTCGAGTAACGGAGCGGTTCCAATACTAACCACCTCATAATTGAACAGGCCAAGCCATGTAGATAATAGCCAAACTAGTTGAGATAACTAAGGAAGTTTATGTCAAGTACATTCAAGAACGCCTACAATACTTCAGCATATACATATTACAGCTGTTTGGAAGTGAAAAACAAAAATGTACCGACATAGTTGGCCAAGGCGTAAACATTAACGTGTCAACATGTCCATTAATGTGTCAGATCTTAAAAAGAACAGCGTCCGCGATAAGTCGTCAGGGGATAGCTGCTATTCCAATTATGAAAGCACGTAGCTAATAAGTAATCTCCGACGCCAAAAGAAGGGAAAAACAGGCGAAGACGGCCGTATGCTCCCAGAACAACATAGAACAAAGATCGCTCCCTCACAGTCACCCCTCAACTGCGGCTCTCGTGCAAACCGCTAAGCTCATAAAATCTCTCTATCACATCTCGCAGTAGTTGATATCATCCAGTGCAAAAAAAAAAGAATACAAAAAGAAAACAACAAAAACGCAGAGGAAAAACTCTTGGAAGGAAAAAGGCGGTAGCGCACGTTTTGTGCGTCGAGGTTTTGCATCACGAAAATTGCGTCACTCGTGCTTTTTACGCGTTTCACCTCGCGAAATGAGTTGAATTGAATGTATATACCTCCAATGAGTAAACTGTAATAAAGGGCCAGAATTATCCATGGGCATTAGCAATGCCAGCCGCCCCAACTAAGAACAATTGAGTGGCCTCCGTCGGAGGACATCTAGCAAGTAAGGCGGTCCAACTGAAGCGGCGTTAGACCTCATAGAAACTTTCACAGCGCGGTTCCTCGAAGAGCCTCGCGCTTCTTCGTTGCCTGTGCCAACGACGAGTAGAGTGGGGCAGTCTCTAGCTTGGGGGATGTACTAAAATTGGCACAAGGAAGGCACAGCCAGTGTACTTACTACTCGAGCGCGGGAGCTGTCTTCAAATACGTCTGCCCCTCCCCTCCCAACAATGAGCAAGTACGACCCCCCTTTACAACGTCCGTGAAGCGAGAAAAATCAACTATCAAAATAAATTTTTCCTCAGCCCAAATACGACCCCCCCCCTCTCCTGGCGACCAAATACGACCCAACGACGATGTGCCCTGATGTGTCCTGGATGAGTCTCCCTTGCTTCTCCAAGCTGAGTATCTTATCCGTAATACTTAACTTTGCGAAGGAGATGCAGAGAAGAAAAACGACTAGTTTTCTCAAGACTTTAGTACTGGAGCGTCGCAGCGTATCAGCTGGGTTTAAACGCTGCCTAAAAGAAGTCACTCTTTGACTACCTCATTACCGCCATTTCTTTCCCTGATGCTCACAACTCGCAAGAATGACGCCCGTCAAAAGTAGGGTCTACGAAGACAATTCCAACGAAAACGATGGTAAATTCACCTTATGCCGTGGATCGTCCTTCGCCACGGACACCTTGATGATACCTCGCATTCGAAGCCAATCGGCAAAAATACCAGCTAGAAGCATCACTGCACACGAGAATTTAACCATCATCGAAATATACCAAGGTGGATCCGCTATTATAGAATCTTCTATGCTCCATGC